CGTTTGTCCGCGACTTGTCTGCGGACAAGCTGTCCCCTCGTGCTGCTCCCTGTGTCTTCCTTGGCTTCCCCCCTGACGCCCCTGGGTGGCAGTTCTACCACCCCACCTCTCGTCGTGTTCTGTCCTCCCAGGACGTCACGTTCAACGAGTCAGTACCCTACTACCGCCTCTTCCCCTACCGCACTCCTTCCCTCCCCTCGCCACCGCACTTCCTTGTGCCAGGTCCCCCCCCGGTAGACCCCCTCCCCCCTCAGGGTCCTGCCCCTTCAGGTGTGTCCCAGGTAGTTGCAGTCGAGCCGGTCGAGGTTGCTGGTGACTCTGGTACTGCCGCAGGTGCTGAGCCTGGGGGTGCTTACTCTGGGGGTGCTGCGAGTGGGGGTGCTGAGCCTGGGGGTGCTGAGCCTGGGGGTGCTACGACTGGGGGTGCTGAGCCTGGGGGTGCTACGACTGGGGGTGCTGAGCCTGGGGGTCCTTCGCCCGGGGATCTCGGGCGTTTGTCCGCGACTTGTCTGCGGACAAGCTGTCCCCTCGTGCTGCTCCCTGTGTCTTCCTTGGCTTCCCCCCTGATGCCCCTGGGTGGCAGTTCTACCACCCCACCTCTCGTCGTGTTCTGTCTTGCCAGGACGTCACGTTCAACGAGTCAGTACCCTACTACCGCCTCTTCCCCTACCGCACTCCTTCCCTCCCCCCGCCACCGCACTTCCTTGTGCCAGGTCCCCCCCCGGTAGACCCCCTCCCCCCTCAGGGTCCTGCCCCTTCAGGTGTGTCCCAGGTAGATGCAGTTGAGCCGGTCGAGGTTGCTGGTGACTCTGGTACTGCTGCGGGTGCTGAGCCTGGGGGTGCTGACTCTGGGGGTGCTGCGCGCGTGGGTGCTGAGCCTGGAGGTGCTGCGTCTGGGGATGCTGCGACTGGGGGTGCTGAGCCTGGGGGTGCTGAGCCTGGGGGTGCTACGACTTGGGGTGCTGAGCCTAGGGGTGCTACGACTGGGGGTGCTGAGCCTGGGGGTCCTTCGCCTGGGGGTGCTGCGTCTAGAGCTGCTGAGCCTGGGGGTACTGAGTCTGGAGCTACTGAGCCTGGGGGTGCGGAGCCCGCGGCTGCTGGACCTGCTCGTGTGGCGTCTTGCGGTGCTGGGCCTGCTGGTTCTCCGGGTGCTTCGTCTCGGCGGGAGCCACTCTCTCCACAGGAGCTGCGCGAGTGGTTTGCCCGGCGCTAGAGGCGTACTACTGGAACTGGTGCTTCTTCGGCTGCTGAGGGTGCTGGTGCCGCCGGTCTCGGAGGTGCTAGTCCTGCGAGTGCTACTGGAGTCGGAGCTGCTGAGGGTGTTGGCGCTGAGGCTACTGCTGTCAGTTCTGGCGGCGGTCCTGCTGCGGGTGCTACTGGTGCTGCTGGAGGTACTGGAGCTGGAGGTGCTGTTGACGCTGGTGCTGCCGCTGGGGGTACTGGTGCTGTCCCTGCTGTGTCTGGAGTCGCCGCGCGGCCTCGGCCGTACTTTGTTCCGCTCCTTCAGCAGGTTCTTGGTCTTCCTCCTCCCTTAGAGTGTCCACCGCCTGTCCAGTCGTAGTCGCAGTTACCACCGGTCTCCCCACTGCCTTCTCCTTCTCCGTACACTGGTCCTACTGGAGGTCTTGTTGAGCGTCGTGAGCCTGCGTCTCGTCCTGCGTCGCCTGTTCGTGCTGCTCGCACTAGTGGTCGCAGTTCGCGTCAGCGTCCTCCTCCTGTCCCTGGCACGCACCGGATGTCTCTGCGTCCGTCCACTGCTCCTCTGCGTGCCCCTTTGCCCTCTCCTCCTGCGTCCTCTCTTCCTGTGCTTGCCGACCCTGAGTCGGACTCTCTTCGTGCTGCCAGTCCTTCTGTCACGCGTCTCCTTGCTACTGTCATCACTTACCCCTCCTTTGAGTCCACTGCTGCGTCTGCTCTTGTTGCTGAGCTCGTCGACTTTGCTGCTCGCTGTCGTCTAGACTACGCTGCTAGTCTTGTTGCTGAGTCTGCGTCTGTCTGTCCTCCGTCCGTCGGGGGTGAGTGTGCTCTTGGCACGGACGTCCTTGAGGACAGGCAGGAGGAGTTCCGATGTCTGGCTGCTGCTTCACCTCATCTCGTATCCGTACTGCTTACCCCTGAGGGAGACCTGGATGCACTTGACATCCCGACTCCGCGCTCTTACGCGGAGGCCGTAGAGGGTCCCTACTCCTCTCACTGGCAGGCAGCTATGGATGCAGAGATGGCTTCCTGGAAGTCCACAGGCACCTACGTTGACGCTGTCCCCCCTCCTGGGGCGAACATCGTCAGTGGCATGTGGATCTTCAGGGTGAAGCGACCGCCGGGCTCTCCACCTGTCTTCAAGGCGCGGTACGTGGCTCGTGGCTTCAGTCAGTGGCAGGGAGTTGACTACTTTCAGACCTTCTCTCCCACCCCGAAGATGACCACTCTTCGGGTGCTGCTACACGTAGCCGCTCAGCGTGACTACGAGCTTCACTCCCTTGACTTCAGCACTGCTTTCCTGCAGGGTAGCCTGCACGAGGAGATCCGGTTGCGCCGTCCCCCTGGCTTCACTGGGACTTTCCCTCCTGGCACCCAGTGGAGCCTCCGACGGCCAGTCTACGGTCTCCGCCAGGCACCGCGCGAGTGGCACGACACACTGAGGACTACACTTGCGACTCTTGGTTTTGCTCCCTCTACTGCTGACCCGTCGCTGTTTCTACGCACCGACACCTCTCTGCCGCCGTTCTACATCCTCGTGTACGTCGACGACTTGGTCTTTGCCACAGCTGACACTGCTGGACTCGCCCACGTGAAGTCCGAGCTGCAGAAGAGAAACACGTGCACAGACCTGGGTGAACTGCGCAGCTACCTTGGCTTGCAGATCACCCGGGACAGAGCACGCCGCACCATTACCTTGACTCAGTCACATATGGTGCAGCAGGTCCTTCAGCGCTTCGGCTTCACGTACTCCTCGCCTCAGGCCACTCCTCTGCCTACTCGCCACTCGCTCTCAGCTCTGCCTTCGGATGAGTCCGTAGAGTCGAGTGGCCCGTACCCAGAGCTTGTTGGCTGCCTCATGTACCTGATGACCTGCACACGACCTGACCTTGCATACCCTCTTAGCATTCTCGCACGCTATGTTGCTCCTGGGAGACACCGACCAGAGCACATGGCTGCAGCGAAGAGGGTGTTGCGCTACTTGTGGAGTACGTCGGGCATGGGGCTAGTGCTTGGAGGGCGGAGTCCAGTGGTCCTCACTGGTCAGGCAGACGCTTCTTGGGCTGACGATCAGGCTATGCAGCGGTCGTCAAAGGGTTACACCTTCAGCCTTGGTTCCGGCTCTGTTTTGTGGCGGGCTACTCGCTCGTCTTCTGTTCTCGGCTCCAGTTGTGAGGCTGAGATCTACGCCGGGGCCATGGCTGCACAGGAGCTTCGCTGGCTTACCTACCTGCTGACTGACCTCGGAGAGCCGCCTCGTTCTCCTCCGGTGCTGTACGTAGACAACAAGGCCATGCTAGCCTTGTGTCGGGAGCAGCGCCTGGAGCACAGAACGAAGCACATTGCTCTCCGCTACTTTCTTGCTCGTAAGTTGCAGCAGCGTGGTCAGTTGCGACTTGCGTACGTGGCCTCTGATGCCAACACTGCTGATGTTTTCACCAAGGCACTTGCGCCTTGTGATCATCAGCGCTTCTGTACTCAGCTTGGTCTTGTGCCTGTCTTGCCTCACTTGCTCACCTCTTGACCTTGCTTGTACTGTTACATATATATACACCTGCTCTTGCTTGTCTAGCTTTCTATATATATGTAATCATGCATGTGAACTGGCCTTGTGGCCTTGAACTTGTGCTCGGAATGTGTGGTGACTTTGTGATCCACCCTGAGCTTGCTTTGCTTTGCTTTGCTTGACTGGTCTTGTGACCGCTTGTTCTCCCCCAGTTTGGCTATGGGGGTGTGTCAGAACATTATAGCTTATGCTTTTGTGTAGGGTGTAGTGGGGTAGCCCATATGGGGTACAACCCAATTAGGGTTAGTACTTGTACCCAACTGTTTCATAGTTCATTCATTCTCGTTCACATTTTCTCAGAAAACCCATGTATCAGCGCAGTGTGTTTGCCGTCCCCGATCTCGCAAAGTACCCTACCAAAACATATCATATTTCATATACACCGCTCTCCAAACACCATAAAATCGCATACGGACATATTTTCAGGACACAGTGAAGGTTTCCAACCAGGGCTTTTTTTTGGATTTTCACTACTCGGATTTCCAGAGCTGTTTTCTAGAGAACTCTGAAATTCAGGGTTCATTGTGAGCGTTACTCTGATTTGTCAGAGGAAACTTAACTTCTGAAAAATCTACTCTGGGCACCCAGTGTACCTACTTTTCCAACTCTGAGTGTCCTCTCAAGTATTGAACCCAGGCCCTCTGCACTCCTACCAAAAGAATTAAGCGCTATACATACAACTTGCACATCTTCCAACAATTGGGGGGGCAGAAAAGGGCGGGGGGAGGGGTTGTGACACGGTGAAATGCCTATACCCTGTACAGAGAAAATTATATCTGTCACAAATATACACTGGTCTCTCAGAGTAGCTAAAATCAGAACCCTGACAAATCAGAGAAAATTTATCCTCCAAAAAAATTACCCAGACACGTCAGAGTGACCCCCTAAAAACCACTCTGATTTTCAGAGAAACAGAGTAATTTACTCTGATAAAAAAACCCCTGTTTCCAACCCTTCATCTATCGCCATCACATCTGATCATCATTTGATATGCTGTGTCCTGCTGCTGGTTGACCGTCGAGCATCGCCCGCGAAGTCCGCGTATGGCATGGCTCTGCCCGCTGCTTTCGCTCTCGCGTGCCTCGCGTTAAATCTCTCATCTTGCCACGTCTTTAGTGCCACGTGGCAGAAGGACGGTCGTTTCGCCGTTCCGACACCATGGGAACCAAATGCGAACTTCGAACCTGTCGATTTTACACTAGGGGACGACCGCGATGAAAAACCCGCGAATGGCGAAATGTTACACGGGAAACGGTCGCCAGTGCGCAAGGGAGACGGCGTGGAGAACAGGATCGCTTGCGGTCGCGCTTTGCGTGATTGGGCTGTATCCGCCGTGCATTCCGCTTCTATAGGGATCGCCGAGACAGCACCAGAATCTCGCTTCTGGTCCGTGGGTCCACTCTTAAGCGCATGACTCCAATTCCCGACCGTCCCTCGAGCAGCTGCTTGATTCCGTATTGTCTTGATTTGCCTCCAGTCTTGCTTCGGCTATTTAGTCGACGCGTATGGTCTTGCTTAGACTCTTGATTTGGCTATGGTCTTGCTTTGAGTTTTGTTGATGTTACTCGTGTTATTGCTGCTCCGTCGTACTCGTGCTGCTGCTAGCCAGCATTGTACTGCATATCATAGCTCCGTTGCTCTTAGTGAAACACAATTACCTGGGACAGCACGACCGGGACTAGAGAGAGAGTTTCGCAGACGAGACGAGAGGAGAGGAGTGGGCATGGGAACAAATGCCATGTGTCATGACACAACATGACTTGTGGGCATGGCATGGTATGCCATGTCATGGCATGGAATGGCATGATATGGCATGTCCTGGCATGTCATGGTATGGCATGGCTTGTCATGGCATGTGATGGTACGTCATGGGGGAATTTGTCCCATCAGCTCCCCTCACAGAGCATCATGCTTCAGACCTTGCAGTGGCATGGGCCAGTCGCACAGGAACAGTGGCATGACTCCTTCGCTTTCCCACCTCTCCAACTCTTGCCCTCGTATTCTCCTTCTCGCACCAGGTGCGTTCCGTTAAAGCGGGTTCCGTGCTTTGTTCCTCCCAAGTGCGTTCATTGTCCCTCCCTGATGCAAAAAGCTATGTGCAAATTGCACTCTCTCCCAAACCCCCCTCCCCACCCCAACCCCTCCTATAACCCCACCCCACCCGCGATGCTCCACACATTGTGCCAATGGCATGATCGTATCGTATCCTCCGCAGCCCTCTCTCGCTCGCTCACTCATCCCCCTTTTTTCCTTTTCACTCTCTCCCTTTCCTCTCTCTCTCCCTCACCCCCTCTGTTTTTACGCTTCCCCTCCTCCCGTGCTACCATCCCACGTGTTTGTTTCTCACCCTCAATGCAGATTCCACTCTCCATCACCTGTCACTTGACGCACGGCGAGGGGGCAACGTTTTTGAGGCGCCTAAAAAATCCTCCCGTGCTACCATCCCTCGTGTTTCTCACCCTACCTGCAGATTCCACTCTCCATCACCTGGCACTTGACTCACGGCAAGGAGGCAACGGAGGAGAAGGAGGACGAGGGGGCAAAAGAACCGGAGGAAAAGCAGGTGGAGAAACAGGAGGAGGAGGAGGAGGAGAAACAAGGCGAGGTGTGCAACAAGGAAGAGAGAAAAAAGGGGAACCCGGAGGAGAGAGCGTCAGGGAAGGAGACTGGGTAGCATCAGAAGAATCGTCAGAAGAACCAGAACAAGCAGGCAATGGGCTGGGTTCTTGCTTCTCGACCCTCCCTTCTCTGTCTCCCCCAGGCGCTCCCTTCTGCCCGTGCCTCCCCAGTCCCTCTCGACATTCTCTACTGCCAGTTGCTGCTCTGCAGGAACAGCAGCTGTGTGTGATGATTCCGGTGCAGCCCCTGCGCTCCAAGAGAGAGTTCAGGTGAGGAGGGTTCTGGCAAAGGAAGGCTGTTATGCTTTTAAGGAGGGGGAGGGTTGCCTTTTTAGGCGCCTCAAAAGCAGCAGCTGTGTGTGATGATTCCGCTCCGGATCCTGCGCTCCAAGGGAGAGTCCACGTGAGGAGGGTTCTAGGAAAGGAAGGCTGTTGTGCTTTGAAGGAGGGGGAGGGGTGCTTGTGCACACAGGAAATGAAAGATGCCTGTTTGTTTTGTTTGTTTTATGTTTCTCTGGTGATTGGTGTGGATGGCGAGGGGTAAAAGTGTTTTTCCATTGACTGCTTTGTAAGATGACACGCCATGGTGTGTCGTGGCAATGGACCATGCAGTGTAGTTATCGTTGCTCAGCGGTTGGAAGGTTTATGGTGTATTGCATCTGAACGTCACATCCCCTCTTTTCTCCCTCCCCCGCCCTAACTCTCTGTCTCGTTTGCAATCAATTGCAGACCAACCACTGATGGTAGTAGGAAAAGCAGCGATAGTAGCAGCAAAGGCATTAGCAAGAACAGCAGCAGCAGTGGAAGCAAGGACAGTGCTAGCGGCGGCAGCAGCAGGAGCAGGAGAAGTGCTAGCGACAACCAGAATGGCAAGGCAGCCACATCAAGAAGTGAAAGAAGCAGGCGGGAATCAGAGAGCAGTCACAGCAGCAGCAGCAGAAGCAGAAGTGGCAGCAGCAGTAGCAGTAGCAGCAGCAGCACCAGCATTAGTGGCACCAGCAGCAGGAGTAGCAGCAGGAACGGAGGAGGCGGTGGTGGTGAAGGGCAAGTTCCTAATAGTGAGGTGAAGAAGACTCTAGACATGTTCCTCTCGGCTGCTGTCAGACTGGTGCGTGCATGCCTCCATGCTTGTGCGCATGCAAGCCAGCTCCTGCCAATCCTTCCATTCCACCCATGCAATGGCATCCATGCAATGCCATGCGATGCCATATTGTGTCATGCCATGCCGTGCTCTTCGGACCCCTTGTTCTCATGTTCTTGGCGTTGTTGCTGCTGCTGCTGTCGTTGCATGCGGATTATCAGTTGTGTGTGGTTGCGTGTGTGCTCTCGTGCGAGTGTGACAGGTGATGCAAGGGGAGCATAACAAGGCTCTTGAAATCTTTGACAAGGTCGGTCAGTCAGTTAGTCAGTGAGTCTGTGTGCGCCCGTCCTTGTCCTTACTTGCATAAAACATCTATATGAGTTCAATTACTGAACCGTGGTCGCCATTTCTAATGCATACAACAACTCACACACAAACATATGCATACACCCACACATGTGCACACACATGCTCACACATGCTCACACATGCTCACACATGCGCACACATGCGCACACATGCCCTCACACATGCACACAAACTCACTAACACACACACACACACACACGCTCACTCACACTCACACTCCCCACGCACACAGGTGTTGGAGCAGAAGGTATTCACGGACCATGCACTGACGTACCGTGGGACAGTCTACGCCCTCATGCACCGCTACCCGGAAGCCATTGCTGACTTTACCAAGGTGCCACGCATCTTCCTCCTGCCTTCCCGTGCTTGACTTGTGCCTTCCTCATCATGTCTCGTGCCTTCTGCATTCGTTGCGCCTCCTCCTTGTGCTTGGCTTGGCTCACCTGATGCCTGACCCCCTGACTGCGTCTCGTAGTTTTTTTTTATCACTGGCATCAAAACCACTTCTGGTGTAGTGTAATTCGATAAAATCAAGACGTTACCACCAGCACCTCTTAGCAACACCACATATTTTTCTCTCATCTCCTCCCGTCCCTTATCCTGCCTCCCCTCACCTCCCCTCCCCACTTCTCCACCCTTCTCCTCAATGCTTTCATCTCTCTCCGCCAGGCTTTGGAGTTCAATCCGGCCTTCTATGAGGCGAGGAGGAGGCGTGGACAGACGTACACAGCCATGGGCAGGAACGATGAGGCAATTCCCACCACCCATCTCCTCTGCTCCGCTGCTCCTCTGCTCCTCTAATCCTCTGCTCTCCTGCTCCCCTGCTTCTCTGCTGCTCTGCTGTTGGCCCTTTTTCTTGCCAAACTATTACTGCTGTCTCCCAATTGATGTCCTCTTCCCTGTTCACTCCTGTCCCTACATTTCCCCTCTCTTCCGCTTCTTCCCTCTTCCTCTTCTCGTTCCCATTGCATGTTCACTGAATTCTCGTCGTGATTTCCTTCATGCACACATGCATGCACGCACGCACGCGCACATGTGATGTGTGCATGCGTTGCAATGCAAGCGTTTGTGTCTGTGTCCATCTCTCCACACACACCTGCATATGGAAAGTACTTTTCAAAGTTCTCAAAAGTAATTTCCATATAGCTGCGTGCATGCGTTGCCATGCATGTATTTGTGTCTGTGTCTGTCTCTCCACACCACACCACACCACACCACACCACACCCATGCATCAGGCAGTAAAGGATTTGACAGCAGTGATCGAGGCTCGCCCCACCGACTGGCCTGCATATATGGAGCGAGGTACGCTCACAATATCAACCCCACAGCAGGTTGCCACGCACCCACAGAGCTAGCGAGGTGCACTGCCGGGGGAATCTATCCACTCGAGAATCTTTCTCACCTATCCACATTCACATCCCGTCTGTCCTTCCCATCTGCAGGTTGCCGCTCCTCTCAAACCCCCCATCCCGACAAATACCTCCTCCACCTACCCCTCCCTCCCTACCCTACCCTAATCCCCATCCCGCCTGCCGCCACGTGCCAACCCCCTTACCAGGCATAGCACACTCCCAATGCACGGCTCATCTCCCAAGCCCTCAGCGACCTGCGGATGATCTGCACCTTACAGATTAGTCTCTTGTATAAAAAGTGTTTTGAGACGTCTCAAAACATTTCCTTGTCTTGTCTGACCGTCCCTCCCTGCCCCTCGCTGCCTGCCCCACCCTCCCACCCCCTCACCAGGCATACCGCACTTCAATGCACGGCTCATCTCCAAGCCCTCATCTACCTTCGCCTGGTCTGCACCCCAAATATACTCTCCTGTCGGGCCGTCCCTCCCTGCCCCTCGCTGCCCCCCCACCCTCCCACCCCCTTGCCAGGCATAGCGTACTTCAATGCGCGGTTCATCTTCCAGGCCCTCAGCGACCTGCGAACAGTCACCACACACGAGCCTAAAAATGCCCAGGCTCTCTTCTTCCTGGTATGATGCTAATACTATCCTGGTGTTATAGTTTTGGGGGCTTTGATCCATGGGATGTGTTGGGGTTGGGGCTGTGTGTAAGTGTGGCTTGCGCTGTGCGTTGCTCCGTGATTGCAGTACAGTCACATGGTTGCGCATGCTCCCTGTCTCTGTTACCATTGACTGTTTTTTTTTTTTTTTTTTTTTGGGCTTTTAGGAGATCCCCGGAGGAAACCAACCCCCCGTAGGGAGAAGGCGCTTCGGTAAGCAGCATTATACTGGCTGTGCATCTAGTTGCTAAAACCCCCATCGATCACCATAAGCGCGTGCCCCGTTTCGGAGACAGCCGTACCCGGATGGGCTTTGGCTTCAGAGGGGATTACCATTGACTGTGAAAGGTTGACTCGACACTTTCAACTTCTCTTTCTTCCTCTCCCTCCCTCCCTCCCTCCCTCCCTCCATCCCTCCCTCCCTCCCTCCCTCCCTCCCTCCCTCCCTCCCTCCCTCCCTCCCTCCCTCCCTCCCTCCCTCCCTCCACCCCTCCCTCCCTCCCTCTCGCCTTCCGTCCCTCCTCCGCCTCCCCTGTCAATCCCCCCTCCACCCAACCCACTCCCCCAGGCGCAGGCGCACATGGGGGGGGGGCGAGTGTGCGGCAGCCATAGCGATGCTGCAGTGGGTGCAGCAGCAGGACCCGCACCTCAAGCGGCTGCTCGCGCAGCTGAATGCCATGCTGCGGCTGCTTGCATCTCACGCTCTATCTCCCGCCTCTCTTCCCCTCCCTTTGTCTCCCCCTCCCTCCTTCCCTCCGTCCGTCCCTCTCTTCGTCCCTCCTGCTTGTATTCCCCCCTCTCCGCCCCTCCCCACTTCAGGCGCAGGCGCACATGCACGGGGGAGAGTGTGCGGCGGCTATACCGCTGCTGCACCGGGTGAAGCAGCTGGATCCGAACTTGAAGGGGCTGCTGGTGCAGCTGGGGCAGGCGTACAAGGAGGAATCGCGCCTGGAGGAGGCGGAGGAGACGTACCGACAGGCACTGGAGAAGGAACCACAGTGCGTGCTAGAGCTCCGTGTGTGCTTGCTTGGCGCAATTTGAGTCGACTAAAAAAAAAGCTAGACCTGCACTTGAAGGGGCTGCTGGTGCAGGGGCAGGCAGCTGGGGCAGGCAGATAAGGAGGAGTCTCGCCTAGATGAGGCCGAGGAGACGTACCGACAGGTACTCGAGAAGGAATCACAGTGTCTGTGAGAGCTGTGTGCCTGCATGCGTGCTGTGTGGTGCTGGCCTGTGCATCATGCTCTGTGCTCTGTGCTGTGTGCTGTGATCTCTGTGCGTTGTGCTCTGTGCGCCGTGGTGTGCGTGCGTTGTGCAGCGGGCTTTGCTTTCTGCGTTGCGCTCTGTGTGTATGTACTCTTGAGGAATCCCACCAAAGGTGCCTCACATTCCAACGTGTGCCTCTCACTCACCCCAAACAGAGTGCCCCATTGGCATGAGCGAGCGAGGGTCACTGTCTGTCCGAGGAGGTTAAGTTAAGGGCACATCACACTACGCAGCACTGTTGAAAAGTTGCTTCCACATGCTAACATTACTGCTGCCACTTCCCCCCTGGGTCTGTTGGCACCTTGGCAGGAATCTGTTGGGTTACCATCTGTACTCGAATCTCAAGCACGGCATGGGATACCATAGGTGAGTGGGTGAGAGGGTCAGGGAGTGAGTGCTACATGCCACTGCCACTGCCACTGCCACATACACACAACACAAACACATGACGCCACTAGCATCCCTTGAGCGACATGCTCCCCCTCTTCCATGGCCAGTGTGATACAAAAGACTGCGAACAACAGTGTGACGGTGGTGCTCTAGTTTTGAGGCGCCTCAAAACTAGACTCCCCCTCTTCCATGACCTCTGTGATACAAAAGATGCCAACGACTTGGATCTGCGCTTCATGGAGGCCTTGTGCCTGCACTGCACGCCCTGGGGTACTTCCTTTCCCCCAGGCATCTCTCTCATGGGATCATTACACCACCCATCCTTCTCCCCCGATTCTCCCCCCACCCCAGGGAGGCGATGGAGATAGCTCGTAAAGGGCTGAGACTAGCAGACGCCAACGACTTGGATCTGCGATACATGGAGGCCTCGTGCCTGCACGCCCTGGGGTACTTCCCCCAGGCCATCCAGGCCTACTCTGCCATTCTCGCCCTGCAGCTGGCCCCGGGCGTGGACCAGACCAAGCAGTTCCAGTCCTTCTACCAGGTGAGTATGGGGGTCGACTCAAAGCTCGTGCCTGCTTGCACGCCCTGGGGTGCTTCCCCTAGGTAATTTGGGCCTACTCTGCCATTCTCGCCCTGCAGCTGCCCCCGGGGGTGGATCAGACCAAGCAGTTCCAGTCATTTTACCAGGTGAGTAATGAGTGAGCTGACAGTATACCTGGCACAGCGGTATCTCAAGTCTGTGATTAATTGCATATGTTATGATAAATGGCGACACACGCTCTTATTTTTCCCTTCCTTCATCCCATCTCGCCTCCCCCAGCCTGCCGTTTCACCAGGGCTTCGCTAGACGAAGACATGCGCTCTTTTCTTATTTCACCCCCATTCCTCTCTCCCCTCCTGTCCCCATCCCCACCCCGTTGCCCTTCTCTCCCTTCCCATCAGCGCGAGTTGACAGCATACCTGGCGCAGAGGCGCGGCAAGCCAGTGACAGCATACAGCATAGACGACGACATGCACCCCACGTTCAAGGAGCTCTGGGCCAAGCGCATCGCCTACGCGCCACTCTTCCCCGGGTACCAGCTCCAGCCGCTCCGCACCGCACTCAAGCTCGCAGCACCGGAGACCGGCGGGCACAACGTGAGGTTCTCGGAGAGGGTGCGGAGGGTGCTAGGGGCGGCGGATGAGCTAGGGAAGAGGACGCAGTATTGGTGTAATGGGTTTCTGAGGAACCGCAGGCAGCACCGCATGGCAGGGCTTGCGATCCTGGATGTTAGGGATATGGTGAGGGAGACGTGGAAGAGAATGAGGCAGGAGAGGGATGGGGAGGGAAGGGCAGCAACGGTGGGAGAAGGGGGAAGTGGTGAAGGTGGTGGTGAGGAGGTGGGGAGCGGTAGGGGGCGACAGAGGGGGAAGAGGCGGCAGCAACGGCAGCAGCAGTGGCAGCAGAAGCAGGAGAAACAGCAGGAGGGGCCAGAGCAGGAGCAGGAGCAAAGCAGGGCAGGGGGGAGGAGGGGTGGAGCAGCAGGGTATGTGCGACGGTGGCGAGACATCTATGACCGCGTGGTGCGGTGGAGGCAACTGGGGGAACCCATTGAACCAGTTGTGTGGATCGACAAGCTCACGTACGTATGAATGAGTGTGCAAGGGAGTGGGCACATCATACATGATGATTTGACGCATGGGGATTTGGAGGCGTGAGAATTTGGATGGACACACCAGCCAACTCACAACCGCACAGTTGCACACTCTCATAGCCACACAAAGATGCAACCACCGGACATGAGAGCACGTGCGATCTTTTTCTTCAATCTTCAACATTCACCCTCCCTCGTCTCACCTCCACCTCTTCCCCACCCTCCTCCCATTTCCGCCCCATGGGTGTGAATCTTGTTTTTCTCGACAACCACCACACCACCACCAGGCGCAAGGAGTTTGAGGATGGCTTTGGATCTGTCACGGCCATGCTGGTCAGCCAGCTTAAGAGCACCAAATACTACTTTGCTTTCGACAGGTTCTCCCTCCGCCTCTTAAGCCTCTGCTCCTCCACTTGCCCCCACGCCACGCCTGTCTTCCCTTTGCCTTCTCTCGTCCTTACGCCCCCTTTCACTTGGCACGCTTGGCCCCTTTGCTTTAACTGTTCTGTGGGTGCAAATGGGGGCATGTCTCTAATTGCACTGGTATACACACTGGGAGCTTACATAATTTCACCTGGGTCGCATTGGCACGAGGGTCTTGAATGCTCAGAGTGTCTTGCAACAACCTTGCTGCTTCTCCTCCTTGTTGTTGTGTGCCCTCTGCGTGCGTGTTCCCCTCTGCCTGTGTGCCCCGCTCTGCACCCGCACGCTGCACAATGCAACGCAAACGCAACACAATACGCTGCTGCGCTGCGCTGCGCTGTGTGCAACGCAAACCCCCCTGGCACGTGTGACCCTCTGAGAGCAAGCAAGCAGGGCGTTTGCGATAATGAAGGAGCAGGTGCGGCACAGGCACATGGTGTGGAACGGCTACGAGCAGTCCGTGCCTCTCTCCCATACTGCCGTGCACCAGGTCCGTCCACCTTGCTCCACCTCACTCCACCTTGTTTCACCTCACTCAAGCTTGCTAAAACAAGGGCAGCAAGTGGGGTTAAACGGTTTTCAACAGTGCATCTACGATTTCCCGTTCCGTTCCGTGTCCTCACTCCTTTGCTGGTCTTTTGAGGCGCCTCTTAAGAATTTTGAGGTGCCCCAGAGGTCCGTTCCGTGTCCTCACGTCTTTGCTAGTCCTGATGTTTCGGAGCCTGAAACCTGAAATGCTCACACGCTTATCTCCATTCATCCTGCGCTTCTAGCATATCTAGCTCTCCCCTTCCTCCCACACTGCCGCTGTCATGTGTGTGCAGTTCAAGCAGCTTTTGCACTCGCTCAAACTTCCATCCTTCAAATCTCCCTCGTCGCACTTTCCTCTCCTCCTTCAAGTGCTGCTTCTGTTTAGACGCCGTGAAAACCACACATGTTGCTTTTCTCCCTGCCGTTCCGGGCTGACAGGTGGAGCATGCAGAGACAGCAGAGGAGGCGTGGAAGGCAATAGGGCAGGACTACTGGGTGGTCACGCCCTGCTACAGCACCGCTCGACCAGGGTGAGCAAAATCAATGCTATAGCACAGCTCAAAGTCAGGCCGAGTGCCAAGCCTGGGGTAATGTGATTTCGAGTTGACTCAAAAGTCACCTCGTTTCTAGTCAACTCAGAAGTCACCTCAAAATCAATGCTATAGCTCTGCTCACGCAGGCTTAGTGGCAAGCCTGGGGAAATGAGGTGCATTGCTATCACAGCTTGTGGTGCGCTAGATCAATCATTTCTCCGCTTTACTCGTTATTTATTTGTTGCTTGGAACTAACTGCAGTGCTGCCTCCTCTGCTTCCTGCCACCTTACACCACACATGCACCTTATCCTCCCACACCTCCTGATCCCACAAGTCCTCCCCCTCCATCCCCCCTGCCTCTGCCCCAATTTCCCCCCCTCCCTCTCCCCCACTCTTCCCCACGTCCACCCCTAACCCCCTGCTCTTATCTGTTATGTTCCTCGCCCCTGTCCCTCGTGCCTGCCTGATCTTGCTCCACTCCGTTGCCTTGCTTGTCCCCATGGCCTCATGGCATTGCCACGGCTACAACTGGCAGGGTTGTGATGAACGGCACTCGACTCACCATGGTCAAGACGTATGTTACCATTGACCCCTGTCTTCAAGCCCTAATTTCCTCACATCCACTACCCTATCCCCATTATTCCTTTCATTCCTACCATTGTCACCACTTTGCACCCATCTCTCCTGCTTCTGTTGCCCTATCTATTCCAGCACTGCATGTGATGTCCTTTCTTTTCGCCTCTTTCCTTGCCAGTGCACTATGTGCATTCGTGAGTGAGTACATGAGCGTGCGCATGGACATGCACACGTTCATGCCCACACATGTGCTTGCATCTATATAATCATCTTTCCGTCTTAACAATCAAAATCCCTTCAACCACCTGCTCATATCAATTCACCTAACCCAACACACCCTTCATCCATCCCCACCCCACACCATCCATCCCGCTTCCCTCATTCCCCACTCCCCACTTTCCTCCAAATCCCCTCCTTCCCTTAACCCCTCACACCTTCCACCTCACCCCTTCCCTTTGCTCCCACCATCCCACCTCCCCTGCTCCCCTGCCCCCTAACTCTATCAGCCCCACCTACTAAGATTTTTCCATCAAGACTCCTGTCGTTCCCACCCGCTGATTGTTCTACAGAATAAAATAAGAGCAAACCTCCAACGCCCCTGCTCCCCTCTCTTAGTGGGAATATACGCTCAGAACCTAAAGCGTATAGCGTATATACGCTTGCGTTCATACGCAAAACGCTATACGCTAGCTAATACGCTATACGCTTTCAGATTTATTTAGGGGCTGCCCAGGAAAAAAAATCATGTGTATACGGAAAGATGCGGAATCTCCTGGTGAGCATTTCGCGGAAGTCGAGGTGCAATTCAGGGTTGTAGGGAAGCGGGAATGTGCCTTACAATTGCATCTGGCAGTTCAGATCTACAATTTTGTTTAGTACCGCATTGAAATCCATCCCATCTACGAACTCCAACCTGTCAAAAACGTCCCCCCAACAAACCCCACTCACACTACTAACCAGCCAGCCCAACTGCACTTGACATTTCCCGCTTCCCAACAGAGCTCATCCCGATTCCTACTTTTCCTTCTAGCGATAGTGTCTACTACACATCCCACCCTAATCGAAGTTCAGACTTAGGAGAATGCTACGAAATTCTTAGTGAGAATATGGAATACCTTCCCGATGTTGAGCACGACATTGTTTTTCACCCTGCCCGGGAATTTTTTTTCCTGCCCGAAAAAGCGGATTCCCAAAGCCGAACCTTCAGCGTTTAGCGTATATACGTTAGCGTATATACGATAAGCATATATACGCTATACGCGTATATTCCCACTAAGTCCCCTCTGTCCTCCCGCTGGCAGCCCCACCTACTACGAGTTTTCCATCAAGACTCCTGTCGTTCCCACCCGCTGGGACGAGTACGATTTCGAGATGGAAACTGCTTGGAAGGTGCTCACCTCCGCACACTCTTCAACCTCACCTCTTGTCGTTCTGCTGCAATCCCCCGTTGCTGTCCTCTCACCTCCTTGCAAAAAGATTGAAATCCCCAATTGCATCTGGAACCAACTCACTGCACTCCATCTCAAATCCATGCCCATCCTGGTCTCTTACTCTGTGAGCCATCTCAGAACTCACTCCATGTGTATGTGCATGCGTGCTTGTGTGTGCGTGCGTGTGTGTGTGTGTGTGTGTGTGTGTGCGTGCGTGCGTGTGTGTGCGTGCGTGCGTGCGTGCGTGGTGCGTGCGTGCGTGCGTGCGTGCGTGCGTGCGTGCGTGCGTGCGTGCGTGCGTGCGTGCGTGCGTGCGTGCGTGCGTGCGTGCGTGCGTGCGTGCGTGCGTGCGTGCGTGCGTGCGTGCGTGCGTGCGTGCGTGCGTTCGTGCGTGTGTGCGTGCCATGGTGTGTGCAGGATCTATGTGAGGGGTACCTCGACGATATCCTGAAAGCATCGGATGTCGACGCGTATAGAAGGCGAATCCACCATGCCATACTTCGCATGGGCTTCTATTGGTCAGTCCGATCACTCATGGTATTCATTCTTTACTGCTGTGTTTTCTATCATTAGCTGTGCTTGCCTCTCTCATTGTTGGTGATTGACTGGTCTGATAGAGAGCTGCACGATTACTCATCGTGAGAATACGGCTTCCATATTGGTTTGCTGTTATCTCTCCTAGTGAAAGCCATCTCGTCATGCTCGTCTCTCCTCCTCCCCATCTTTCCCCTTCCCCATCTTTCCGCCCTTGTGCCGATGCTGCCACTCACTACGCACCATGCCACGGCATGCCGTATGCACCAACCCCATGTGCATTCGTGCAGGTACAACTTCATGCCCATGGCGCGAGGGACGGCCATGGTGGGCTATGTGTCCATGCTGGGACTATCCCTTGCAGCCACTCTTGAGGCGCCTTTAAAGTCATCCGTCCCATCCCTCATCCCCTCATCCCCGCCTCATCCCATCCCACCCGCCCCTCCACGCGTGCAGGTACAACTTCATGCCCATGGCGCGAGGAACGGCCATGGTGGGCTATGTGTCCATGCTGGGGCTCTTCGCTGCAGCAGACATGCATGTCACAGCGGACATCCCCAAGGGAGCTCAGGTCAGGCCCTCTCTCTATTTTGCATGCGCCTCAGAACTAGATTCTTCGCTGCGGCAGACATGCATGTCACAGCAGACATCCCCAAGGGAGCTCAGGTCTGGCCCTCGTACCTGTCATAATCATTTCAGCGGCTGTTTCTGCATCTTCCTCTCTGAAGTTCACGCGTTGTGCATGTGCACGGCACCGGTATTCCTGCAAAACCCCCTTCAGCCCCTCTCACTCCCCCCTCTTCTCCCCCTCCCATCCACCCCTGTCCCCCTCAAAACCCCCTGGCACCCCCCCCCCCCCCCCCCCCCCCCTGCTTCCATCTCTTCCCACCTGCATTGGCCAGGTTGACTGGGAGGGCATTCTAACCCCGCGAGCCGAAGATTTTATTGCATCCCTATCAAAATGGATGCTGCCCTCCATTGATTACAGTTCCCATGTTTTCACCAATTTGCCGCACATCACTGTGGCTGACGCCCTCCCAACCCTGCTGGATGTCATAAATGCTCTAAGCTTTCATGAAGAGGACAAAAACATAGTGTAATGACAATCAGCACTTACCGTAACAATGATACATATACATTAATATTGGTGTACCTATCTTTAAAAGCGCAGCAACACCTCAGGTAGGAGTGGTGGTGGTGGAGAGGGTGTAGGAGAAATGTGATTGTGTGTGCAGTAATTTTGGACGAAAATATGGTCGCTTTGGTTTTAGGCCGGACTTCTTTGTTGGGGCAATTTTCTTCGCCATACACAAATGATCTGAAAGTACTGTACACTGCTAGGCTACTGGTACTTGTAATGGGGACAGGGGAGAAGACCCCAGCAGAATGCAGATGTATCATCTTGTCGTTACAGGAGTTTTGTTACGGGTGCAATGAATCGAAGTAGCGAGAATTGCACTAAGGTGTCAAACGAGTATCAAATGTGAGCGAAGCATGAGCGAACATTTATACGCGAAACATGCAAACGGTAACGCGGTGCGTGCGAGCTAGCTTGTGCTATGCTGGAAGCGAGGCTCGGGCTAGTCCCGAAGCGTAGGCCGACACGGCCAGGCCAGTAGTGCGAGGTTTGGTGAAACAGTGTGCGCGAAGTCGGCGAAGCCCCGTTAGCAGTAACGGGCGAACAACGGCTGCTGCTGTACGTGATGTTGCAGAGCGCGCTAAGGAATATCGAGAAAATTCCTTACACTACCCCCCCCCCTCAAGAAGCCCCCTCCGCTACGCGAGTGCGTGTATATCGCGGAAACCCCGGCTCCTCAGGTACACTTGCAGGGCAGGGTGGTTTTCAATGTTGGCCACGGGCACCCAGCTATCTTCAGTTGGCGTGCGATCCTTCCAACGAACGAGGAATTCAATCCTCTTGATTCCCGTGGGGTGTTGAATCCGGTGGCTCGGGATTTTTTCGGGCTCGATGATCGGCTCCGATGCAGGGCGAGTCATGGATGGCGAGCGGTGACGAGGCAGTTGGCTTGTGGTTGGGATGTATGGGCGAAGTAGGCTGATGTGGAACGAAGGGCTGACGTACCAGTCCGTCGGCAACAGGAGTTGGGCTGTCACCGGGGTAATCATGTGGCTGATTTGGAATGGTCCACAGTAGCGGGGTCGCAATTTCGGTACGACGGGCAGTCTTAAGTTCTGTGTGTCGAGCAGTACATAGTCCCCTGACTGGTACGTGACTCGACGGCGGTGGCGGTCAGCGTTGCGTTTAGCGAAGACATTGGCTTTTTTTATTGCTTCAGCGGCTCTGATGCGGGCAGCTTGCACAATTTCGGCGAATTGCTGTGCACGTGGTGTTGGGTTGTCCGGACTCGGCGTCATGGGCACTGTAGGGTTTTGCCCGTAGTTCAGGTAGAACGGGAACTGCTGCGTCGTCGCTGACGTGGCGTTGTTATACGCGAACTCGATCAGCGGCAGCTGCTGCTCCCAAGTGGTCGGGTCGTCGCACGTGGCACGAATCAACTGCTCCATCGTCTGATTCGTCCGCTCTGTTTGACCGTCGGTCTCGGGGTGGTACGACGAGCTGAACTGTAGCCTTGTTCTGAACTGCTCCCGGAGGTTCTTCCAGAAGTTAATGGTGAACTTCGTGTCGCGGTCGCAGATTATCGCGGCTGGTATCCCGTGCAGTCGAACGACGGTTGCGATGAACAGGCGAGCGTTTTCTTCGGCTGAGATCGATTTCTTGCACGCAGCAAAGTGTGCCATCTTCGTCAACCTGTCAACGTCGACCATAACTGCGTCGTTACCCCCAGGGTTCGAAGGTAACCCCGTGACGAAATCCATGGTAACCTGCTGCCAGGCGCGCTCAGGCGGTGGAATCGGCTGCAACTGACCCGCCTTTCTTTTTCGCGAGCTCTTCATCACCTGACACGTAGGACACGAGCCCACGTGGTGCTGCACGTCGGTCAACAGCTCCGGCCAGTAGTAATACCGCTGCAGTTGCTGTCACGTTTTTTCTACCCCGTAATGTCCCGAGGTAATCCTGTCGTGTGCCTCCTGCAGTAACAGTTCCCTCAGTAGTGAGTACGCGGGTACCCAGATGCGATTGGTGCCTGTTTTACGTAATAGACTCCTTTGTGAAACTAACTGAGTTGACTAAGTCAGAGTTGGGTACAAATACAACCCTAGCAAACTGTACCCCATATGTGCTACCCCACTATAGCCTACAAACATGCATCAGCTATAATAATCTGACACACCCCCATAGGCAAAGTGGGGGAGAACAAGGGGTCACAAGACCAGTCAAGCAAAGCAAAACAAGCTCAGGGTGGATCACAAAGTCACCACACAGTCCGAGCACAAGAGCAAGACCAGAGGCCAGTTCACATGCAGGAGTACAGACATATATATAAAAACTAGACAAGCAAGAGCAGGTATATATATGTCAAAGTACAAGTAAAGTCAAGAAGAGAGCAAGTGAGGCAAGACAGGTACAAGACCCAGCTGGGTACAAAAGCGCTGATGGTCGCAAGGCGCAAGTGCCTTGGTGAACACATCAGCAGTGTTGGCCTCAGAGGCCACGTAAGCAAGTCGCAACTGACCACGCTGCTGCAGCTCACGAGCAAGGAAGTAGCGGAGAGCAATGTGCTTCGTTCTGTGCTCCAAGCGCTGCTCTCGACACAAGGCCAACATGGCCTTGTTGTCTACGTACAGCACTGGAGGAGAACGAGGCAGCTCTCCAAGGTCAGTCAGCAGGTAGGTGAGCCAGCGAAGCTCCTGTGCAGCCATGGCCCCGGCGTAGATCTCAGCCTCACAACTGGAGCCGAGAACCGAAGACGAGCGAGTAGACCGCCACGAGACAGAGCCGGAACCAAGGCTGAAGGTGTAACCCTGTGACGACCGCTGCGTAGCCTGGTCGTCAGCCCAAGAAGCGTCTGCGTGCCCAGTAAGGACCACTGGACTCCGCCCTCCAAGCACTAGCCCCATGCCCGACGTACTGCACAGGTAGCGCAATACCCTCTTCGCTGCAGCCATGTGCTCTGGTCGGTGTCTCCCAGGAGCAACATAGCGTGCAAGGATGCTCAGAGGGTATGCAAGGTCAGGTCGTGTGCAGGTCATCAGGTACATGAGGCAGCCAACAAGCTCTGCATACGGACCACTCGACTCTACGGACTCATCCGAAGGCAGAGCTGAGAGTGAGTGGCGAGTAGGCAGAGGAGTGGCCTGAGGCGAGGAGTACGTGAAGCCGAAGCGCTGAAGGACCTGCTGCACCATGTGTGACTGAGTCAGGGTAATGGTGCGGCGTGCTCTGTCCCGAGTGATCTGCAAGCCAAGGTAGCTGCGCAGTTCACCCAGGTCTGTGCACGTGTGTCTCTTCAGCAGCTCGGACTTCACGTAGGCGAGTCCAGCAGTGTCCGCTGTGGCAAAGACCAAGTCGTCGACGTACACGAGGATGTAGAACGGCGGCAGGGAAGTGTCGGTGCGAAGAAACAGCGACGGGTCAGCAGTAGAAGGAGCAAACCCAAGAGCCGCAAGCGTAGTCCTCAGTGTGTCGTGCCACTCACGCGGTGCCTGGCGGAGACCGTAGACTGGCCGTCGGAGGCTCCACTGGGTGCCAGGAGGGAAAGTCCCAGTGAAGCCAGGCGGACGGCGCAGCCAGATCTCCTCGTGCAGGCTACCCTGCAGGAACGCAGTGCTGAAGTCGAGAGAGTGAAGCTCGTAGTCGCGCTGAGCGGCAATGTGCAGCAGCACCCGAAGAGTGGTCATCTTCGGGGTGGGAGAGAAGGTCTGAAAGTAGTCAACTCCCTGCCGCTGACTGAAGCCACGAGCCACGTAACGCGCCTTGAAGACAGGCGGCGAGCCCGGCGGCCGCTTCACCCTGAAGATCCACATGCCGCTGACGATGTTCGCCCCAGGAGGGGGAACCGCGTCAACGTAGGTGCCTGTGGACTTCCAGGAAGCCATCTCTGCATCCATAGCTGCCTGCCACTGAGAGGAGTAGGGACCCTCTACGGCCTCCGCGTAAGAACGCGGAGTCGGGATGTCTAGTGCATCCGGGTCTCCCTCAGGGGCTAGCAGTACAGACGCGAGACGAGGTGAAGCAGCGGCTAGACACTGGAACTCCTCCTGCCTGTCCTCTAGGACGTCCGTGCCAAGGGCACACTCACCCCCGACGGACGGAGGACAGGCGGACTCAGACTCAGCGACAAGACGAGCAGCGTAGTCTAGACGACAGCGCGCAGCAAAGTCGACAAGCTCAGTGACAAGGGCAGACGCAGCAGACGACTCGAAGGAAGGGTCAGTGACAGCAGTAGCAAGGAGACGCGTGACAGTAGGACTGGCAGCACGAAAAGAGTCCGACTCCGGGTCGGCAAGAGCAGGAAGAGAGGAAGCAGGAGGAGAAGGCAAAGGGGCACGCAGAGGAGCAGTGGACGGACGCAGTGACATCCGGTGCGTGCCAGGGACAGGAGGAGGACGCTGACGCGACCCGTGACCACTAGCGCGCTCAGTACGAACAGGCGACGCAGGACGAGACGCAGGCTCACGACGCTCAGTAAGACCTCCAGTCGGACCAGCGTAGGGAGAAGGAGCAGGCAAAGGGGAGGCAGGCTGTAGCTGTGGCTGTGACCGGACAGGCTGCGGACCCTCTAAGGGAGGAGGAGGAGGTGTAAGACCAAGAACCTGCTGCAGGAGCGGAACGAAGTACGGTCGGGGCCGCGCGGCGACGCCAGAAACAGCAGGAACAGCACCAGCACCCCCGGCAGGAGCACCCACTCCAGCAGCACCTCCAGCAGAACCACCAGAAGCTCCAGAACCTCCAGCAGCAGCACCAGGAGCACCGTCAGTCGGACCACCAACCGCAGGCTCAGCGCCAACGTCCTCAGCAGGACCAGCTCCAGGAGAACCCTCAGACCTAGCAGCTCCAGCACCCACAGGACGAGCACCGCCAGGTCGCGTGGCAGCAGCGCCCTCCGCAGCCGAAGAACCACCAGCACCAGCGGCACGCCTCCAGCGCCGGGCAAACCACTCACGCAGCTCCTGTGGAGAGAGCGGCTCCCGGCGAGACGAAGCACCCCCAGGCACAGCACCTCCAGGCTCGGCACCT